TGGGGGGAGGAATAGTGCCCCATCGTTGGTGTCAGTGGGGGGAGGAATAGTGCCCCATCGTTGGTGTCAGTGGGGGGAGGAATAGTGCCTATCATTGGTGTCAGTGGGGGGAGGAATAGTGCCCCATCGTTGGTGTCAGTGGGGGGAGGAATAGTGCCCCATCGTTGGTATTAGTGACACAAATGATGGGGCACTATTCCTCCCACTGACACCAATGATACTTACCTTGCTGACCCCTGCTCCAGCCTGGGCTCGCTCTCTCCCTCTCCCATCTACAGCCTGCAGAAGCAAAATTTGCACTTACCTGTCAGCTGTCTTCCTTCTCTGGCCTCTCTCCTCTTCACTCGGTCCTGCAGCTCCCTCGATCTTCTTCGATCTGCGCGCTCTGCCGCTCGGCTTCTCCTCTCCAAGCTCCACCTCCTCGCCGGTGATTGGCCGCCTGTGTGCCTCTCCTGAGCTACAGTTCCGGTGGCCAATCAGCGGCGAGGAGGCGGAGCTGTTGAGTGATCCCGGATGTGTGGCCAGGTTACAGGGGCAGCATATCATCCCGCCCACAGATCGCGAGACAGGAGCGGTGTCTCGGTTCCTAAGACCATCGGAAATATGTGTTTTCCGATGGTCTTAGGCGACCCCTGGGAGAAAGGTCGTTCGACCCCCAAAGGGGTCGCGACCCCCAGGTTGAGAACCGCTGCTTTAGGGGTTCAGGTCAGGCGAGTTTGCTGGCCAATCAAGCACAGTAATCCCACGGTCATTGAACCAGGTTTTGGTGCTTTTGGCAGTATGGGCAGGTGCCAAGTCCTGCTGGAAAATGAAGTCAGCATCCCCATAAAGCTTGTCTGTGGAAGGAAGCATGAAGTGCTCCACAATCTCCTGGTAGACGGCTGCGTTGACCCTGGACTTAATGAAGCACAGTGGACCAACACCAGCAGATGGCATGTCTCCCCAAATCAACACAGACTGTGGAAACTTTACACAGGACTTCAAGCATCTTGCAGTGTGTGCCTCTCCATTCTTCCTCCATACTCTGGGTCCTTGGTTTCCAAATGAGATGCAAAAGTTGCTCTCCTCAGAAAAGAGGACTTTGGACCACTGAGGAACAGACCAGGTCTGTTTTTCTTTAGCCCAGGTAAGACGCTTCTGACGTTGTTTGTTGTTCAGGAGCGGCTTGACAAGAGAAATACAACATTTGAAGCCCATGTCCAGGATCCGTCTGTGTGTGGTGGCTCTTGATGCACTGACTCCAGCCTCAGTCCACTCCTTGTGAAAGTCCCCAACACTTTTGAATGGCATTTTCCTGACAATCCTCTCCAGGCTGCGGTCATCCCTGCTGCTTGTGCACCTTTTTCTTCCACACTTTTCCCTTCCACAAACTTTCTATTAATGTGCTTTGATACAGCACATTTGGGAATATCCAACTTCTTTTGCAATTACCTTTTGAGGCTTTCCCTCCTTATGGAGGGTGTCAATGATGGTTTTCTGCACAACTGTCAGGTCAGCAGTCTTTCCCATGATTGTGATTCCTACTGAACCAAACTGAGAGACCATTTAAAGGCTCAGGAACCCTTTGCAGGTGTTATGGCTTAATTAGCTGATTAGAGTGGGACACTTTGAGCCGAGAATATTGCACCTTTTCACAATATTCTAATTTTCTGAGATTGTGGATTTGGGGTTTTCATGAGCTGTAAGCCATAATCATCACAATTATGACAAAAAGTTGATTGGAGAGGGGAAAACATATAAAGAAGTGCAGAAAATGATAGGCTGCTCAGCTAAAATGATCGCAAATGCTTTAAAATGGCAACCAAAACCTGAAAGACGTGGAAGAAAGCGACAAAACTACCATTCGAATGGATAGAAGAATAGCCAAAATGGCAAGGACTCAGCCAACAATCAGCTCCAGGAAGATCAAAGAAGGTTCAAAGTTACCTGTGAGTACTGTTACAATTAGAAGATGCCTATGTGAAGCCAAGCTATCTGCAAGAAGCCCCCGCAAAGTCCCACTGTTGAAAAAAAAACGTGTGCTGAAGAGGTTACAATTTGCCAAAGAGTACATTGACTGGCCTAAAGAGAAACATTTTGTGGACTGATGAAAGTAAGATTGTTCTTTTTGGGTCTAGTGGCTGGAGACAGTTTGTCAGATGACCCCCAAACACTGAATTCAAGCCACAGTACACTGTGAAGACAGTGAAGCATGGTGGCGCAAGCATCATGATATGGGGATGTTTCTCATACTACGGTGTTGGGCCTATTTATTGCATACCAGGGATCATGGATCAGTTTGAATACATCAGAATACTTGAAGAGGTCATGCTGCCTTATGCTGAAGAGGAAATGCCCTTGAAATGGGTGTTCCAACAAGACAACGACCCCAAACACACCAGTAAACGTGCAACATCTTGGTTCCAGACCAACAAGATTGACGTTATGGAGTGGCCAGCCCAATCCCCGGATCTTAATCCAATAGAAAACTTGTGGGGTGACATCAAAAATGCAGTTTCTGAGGCAAAATCAAAAAATAGAGAAGAACTGTGGAATGTAGTCCAATCATCCTGGGCTGGAATACCTGTTCACAGGTGCCAGAAGTTGGTTGACTCCATGCAACACAGATGTACAGCAGTTCTCAGAAACAGTGCTAATACAACCAAATATTCATTAAGTGATTCAAAGGAAAGCAAAATCTTCAAACATTTTTCAGTTTATATAGTGAATGTTTGAGTTTGTAAAGAAGAATACAAACACTGCTATTGTTTTGAACAGTCTTATATTCACTTTTCTTCATTTTTTTAGAGGAACAACACAAATTTGATATATTTTTCTTCATGTTTTGATTTGGAATAGAATGTGTAGTGTTCCCAATGCATGTGTGTGTATGGAAATAAAAGCTATTTGCAGGATTTTGAGCTTTATTCACTTTTTTTCAACACACTGCTATTATTTTGAACACTGTATATTAGTTTCACCTTTTAATTTGCATTACTGAAATAAATAAACTTTTGCACAATATTCTAATTTTTCAAGTTTCACCTGTATATAGAGGGATCAGGATCTCCTTGCTCCTGCTGGTGACCCCTCTAGAGATTATAAAGATATATATAGACTAGGAAACAGGACCTCCTTCTTCCTGCTGGTGACCCCTCTAGAGAGTATAAAAATCCATATAGAGGAATCAGGACCTCCTTACTCCAGCTGGTGACCCCTATAGCGATTATTAAGAATCCTTTATAGAGGAATCAGGACCTCCTTCCTCCTGCTGGTGACCCTTTTAGCGATTTTAAAGGTCTATATAGAGGAATCAGGACCTCCTTCCTCCTGCTGGTGACCCCTCTAATGATTATAAAGAGCTATATAGAGGAATCAGGACCTCCTTCCTCCTGCTGGTGACCCCTCTAACGATTATAAAGATCTATATAGAGGAATCAGGACCTTCTTCCTCCTGCTGGTGACCCCTCTAGCGATTATAAAGATCCTTTATAGAGAAATCAGGATCTCCTTGCTCTTGCTGGTGACCCCTCTAGTGATATAAAGATCTAGTTAAAGGGATTAGGACCTCCAATACATCACATGAGATGCATGACAACACATAAGACACATGATAACATATGAGACACAATACATCACAGGAGACACTTTAAATCACATGAGATGTATTATCTCATACGAAATGCATGACATCAAATGAAATTGCTGATAAAAAGTCTGAATTGGTTTAATAAAAAGATTAATATATCTTTGCATTAATTGTGCATTGAAAAAAGTGCAATATTATTCAGGGACCATATAAACAATTATATGGGGCCTGCTCATGGCTGTCATATTGTGTTTGGACTTGTTTCAATATGGATGATGCACTGTGTTGGAAACCCTAACTCCGATCCAGCCATCAGAACTGGCAGGTCCATATAATCCATGGCCACTTGAGGAGCCAACAACATTTGTCACAGCAGGCGGGGTAATAGACACTGTGGTATAGTCAGAGCTACATAAATGTTTTCTAATAATAGTGTGTGACTGTGGGGGGCATTAGAGTGTAAGCTCCTTTGGCATGGAGACTGATGTGGCTGGCTCAGTGTAATCTGTACAGCACTATGGTATACAATTGTGCTCAAAAGTTTACATACATTTGGAGAACTAGTAATATATAGTATGTGCAATTTTCAAAGAAAACATGAGTGAGCAGACAAAATCTATTTTTTTCTTATTTCTTATGGTATTCCTATTCAGCTGTAGGCCATAACAGAATGGTACAATCATAAAAAAAACCTGCCAACAAGTAAACAAATAAAATGCCCCCTGTTCAAAAGTCTGCATACCCTTAGTTCTTAATCCTGTGTATTGCCTTTAGCATCAATGACAGCGTGCAGACTTCTGTAATAGTTGTCTATGAGGCCCCGAATTCTTGCAGGTGGTATATCTGCCTATTCGTCTCGGGACAATTCCTTCAGGGCATGCAAAGTCTTTGGTCATTTTGCATGAACTGCATGCTTGAGATCTCCCCAGAGTGGCTGGATGATATTAAGGTCAGGAGACTGTGATGGCCACTCCAGAACCTTCACCTTTTTCTGCTGTAACCACTGGAGGGTCAACTTGGCCTTGTGCTTAGGGTCATTGTTGTGCTGGAAAGTCCAAGGGCATCCCATGTGCAGCTTTTGTGCAGAAGAATGCAAATTGTCTGCCAGTATTTTCTGATAAGATGCTGTATTCATCTTGCCATCAATTTTCACAAGATTCCCTGCGCCTTTAGAGCTCACACACCCCCACAACATCAGTGAGCCACCACCATGCTTCACAGTGGGAATGGTATTCTTGTCATTATAGGCCTATTGACCTCTCTCCAAACATAACGCTTATGGCTGTGTGGTATGGTTTTCGTCCTGTCACTCCAGATTACAGTGTGCCAGAAGCTGTGTGGTGTGTCAAGGTGTTGTCGGGCATATTGTAACTGGGCTTTTTTGTGGCATTGGTACAGTAAAGGCTTCTTTTTGGCAACTAGACCGTTTAGCTAATTTTTGTTCAAGTATTGTTGTATTGTGCTCCTTGAAACAACCACACCAGAGCAGCCTGTATTTCTCCTGAGGTTACTTGTGAATTTTTCTTTGTATCAAGAAAAAGTCTTCTGGCAGTTGTAGCTTCAATTTTTCTTGATCTACATGACCTGGGTTTGCTAATAAGAGATTTCTGAATTTTCTGCTTTTTAATATGAGATTGCACAGTACTGACTGGCATATTCAATGCTTTGGATATCTTTTTATATCCTTTTGTATCTTTATAAAGTTCCATTACCTTGTTACACAGGTTTTTTGTCAGTTCTTTTCTGCTCCCCATGGCTCAGTATCTAGCCTGCTCAGTGCATCCTCTTGAGAGCTAACAAACTCTCAAAACCACAGATGTGGAAATTAAATTTTAATTACCATTTTAACCTGTGTGTGTGTCACCTTGTGTGTCTGTACCAAGACCAAACATTCCAGGGGATGTAAACTTTTGATCAGGGCCATTCGGGTGCTTTCTGTTATCATTATCAATATAGTAAATAGCTTCATACGATCACTATGAGTAAGTAAAAAACATGTTTTTGCATGGTCAATTATATTTTCAATATCAATGCCAACATTTCACGATTTCTGCCAAGGTATGCAAACTTTTGAGCATAACTATATTTACACACACAGGAGTTTTCTGAAGCCATTTCTGCCTTGTGAGATCAGCCCTCAGAGGTTCTCATTAGCGTGGAACGCTTGGGCATAAACATGGGACACTCCCTTTCCCCTTTTACACTTTTTTTGCAGGAGGGTGAGGCATCAGAGAAACCATGTTCAAGATCAGGGTTGTAACTAGAACCTTCAGGGCCCCGGTTCAAAAAATCATAAAGGGCCCACCTGACCCGAGCCCGGGCCCTTCCCTTCAAGCCTTTTATTAGCATCTGGACCCTTTCACATGTTCTGCTGATGCCTCCTTCCAGTCCTTGCATTAGAATCCTCTCTTAGAGCTGATTCACATATGTGCAGTGTGGATTGAAGCTCAGGTTTCACAGCTAATTGATACAGTAGTTGTTCATGTCAGGTTTACATCAGGTTCAGGACAGGATTAGCTCAGAATCTTATCCTGTTCACACATATGCGGTTTAGAAACGGTTCCCATAGAAGTCAATAGCCTGTAATCTTCACCTGAACCTGAAGGCACTGCTCAGAAATCGCAAATGACTCAAACAGCACTGAATCCTCACAGCCAGTACACTGGACATATGTGAACATGCATAATAGGCAGCAATGTTTTTTTACATGTCATACATATTGGATGCGGTTCAAACCGCATTCAATCCACATATCTGTGAACTGGCACTTACATCAGAGTTCCCACAGCTCCCTTTACATCAGAGTGTCCCTTTACAATACACCAGAGTCCTTAGGGTTTGCCTTACGGTGCTGGGGGAACTCTGCAGACCCTGATGTAAAGGAGAACTCTGCAGACCCTGATGTAAAGGGGAACTCTGCAGATCCTGATGTCAGGGGGACTGTTGTGAGAATGTTGTGGACTCTGGTGTAAAGGGGAACTCTGATGTAAGAGTCTGCAAAGTTTCCCCTTGTACTGTAAGGTGAACTCTGCTGACTCTGATATAAGGGGGAATGCTGGAAACTATTATGCAAGGGGGAGCTCTGGTGACCAGAGAACCTCTTACATCATAGCTCCCTTTTACACCAGAGTCCGCAGAGTGAGTACACTAAGGCAAAGGGTTCATTGATGTAAGAGGGGAGTGAGGACATGGATATATTAGGTTACCTTTATATCTTTGCCCCCCCACCTTACCTTAGGGTCTCCACTTGCCCCTTACATCAGTGACTCCCCCATAGAGTGATTCATTGGGCCCAGGATATCCCTACCATGGAGTACCTGGACAACCTGCAGGAAGTGAACGTCAAATGTCCAGTAGACAGTACAGGTCACGGAAAGGTTTGGTTGGGTGCTGAACTTTCAGATGTCAACCTTGATTCTGACTCAACGCCTGAAGTAATTAGGGTTAGTGCTCAATATTGCAAAAGCAAAAGTATTGCTTCCACAGGAGAAATGTTTGTATCTTCAGGAAGATTCCGTAAGAACCCTAAGGTCCCTAAGAATCCCTTGATTTGGGCCTTTATAAGGGTGCCAGGGAAGATGGTAGCTGCTTTTTGATACAGACCTTTATGCCCAATTTCACTTCAGTGCTCTTCAGATCAAAATCCTGTTGATATGGAACAAACATCAGGAGTACCTAAGTCTGTAAATGCACCATTCTCTGAAGAGCAGGTCTGTCCTAGGATGGTGAATATTCACATGGATGCTTAATGCAAGGAAATCCTTTCGATTAAACTTGAAAGTCTGAGAGTGGATGCCAGCCTTGGTCTTGGAAGGTGTTCTGGAGAATCCCTTGGTTCAGGGAACATGGTTGCCAGAGGAGTGGAAAGTGCTGATAAACATCCTGGAACTTTGGGAGATTTGACTGGTTCTCCTACACTGGTCTGTCTTCTTTTGAGGTCTCCGCAGTCAGACAGTGCCACAGCTATGGAATATATCAACCATCAAGAAGTCACTGTGCTCAGGGGGAAAGTTGACCTAATTTGTCTTGAGCAGAATTATATGCTACGCCATGCACATTCCTGGTGTAAATATCTGACAGGCAGGCTTTCTCAGTTGTCCACTGTTGAATCTGGTACAGTGGGTGTTCTCAGAGATTTGCCTGTGATGAGGGTCGCAGATTTGGATTTCTTGGTATCCAGATTGAACAACAAACTGGACAGGCTTGTGTGCTGAACTAAGGATTCTTAGGTGTTTTCAGCAGATGCCCTGGTGACTCCCTGGAATCAGTTTCCCTGATCTTCTTCACTGCAGCTTCTACCTCATATATAGCACAGAATAAAGCTGGAGGCATTCCACTAATTCTGATCACATCTGGTTGCCCAAGAAGGATGCATTATGCAGATATTGTAAGTCTCTTAGCAGGTGAGCCATGGGCTCTTCCATATTGGCCAGATTTGCTGTTATAGGCTCTTATCTCATATCCTGCTTTATGGTTGCTAGCTTTCATGGCATGGCTGTTGCAGAACTAAGTCCTAAGGGATAGTTCCTACCCTTCTCAAGCAATGGAGGTCTACCCAGGAAGGTGTTCCACCATACATGGAAATCCTTTTTCACCTGTTGTGAGGCTCATAAGTTTCTCCCCAACAGTATGTCATGGGGTGCATTTTGGCTTTTCTCTAGTCTAGTGTGGTTGTGTCTCTGGCACTATCAAGGGACAGACCTGGGTCTTGGCTGTTCTTGAGAACTTCAGTATGCAAATTCTGGCCAGAGTTCCAAAGAAAGGAGGCTTCAGGAGACTGCCTGCAGCTTGATGAAAGCCTCCTACAATGACAAATAAGGTAAGTATTAAGCCTGGTACACAGTAAGTTTGCTGGGCTGAGCGAAAAAAATAGATGGAGCTCATGAGGAGGTCTCTTACTTTACTACAGAAATCTCCCCCCTGAGCGACTGTGTTCTGATAGGGGGAACACCCCCCCCCCCCGCGCCCCGCCAGAACTGGTTAGAGCTCATAGCCATTGGCTAAGAGTGAAGAGTGCTGGTCAGATGCTGATCGCCTGCTGGTTTTCCAGCATGCTCGTTTGACAGAAGCTGGCCACAGGATCAGCTTCTATCAAACAAGGACCCGTGCACACGTGCTAAATGTTGGCCAGTATCTACTGTACCAGTTGATTTCAGCGGATATTCATGTGTACAGGCTTTAACACCTTATTCATCTACTGTACCTCTGAACTTAACAAGTATTTAACTCTTGCATTATGGTGAAGTAAGACAGTAAGAGCATTTTTTTATCCGGAGCCAAAACTGGTGCTTTTTTCAGTTCTCATCTTGATCTTGGAAATGAAAAGGAAAAGCTTTGGCTTTTAATTACTTTAAATAAAGGCCAGTTAGTAACCATCCTGGTCACTGAGGACAAGTTAAAATATACGTCATATATTATATAATATAGTAGATGGACCTTCTTGCAGCTTACCATTGTTGCCTTTTTCAACCATCTTACAGCCTTTTGGGGATGGAAGATCTCTGTGGGCAAACAGGTAATTTTGTTAGTATAAACTGGTGGTAAAAATGACCACAAAAAAGTCTGTGTACTCATAATGAGGAACCATTGCTAATATACTGAAACCACACTAAGTTAAAATTGTCAGTATTGTCTGGGTTGGTTCCCATTCTTCACCTGTTTTGGTCTGCTGCTCTCACCACCTCTTATATTATTAAAATAAATATATATATATATATATATATATATATATATATATATTTTTTTTTTTTTTTATTAATATACAGTATCTCATAACAAAACAACTAGTGTGCACTGCAGATATCTTATTATATTTCTTTGTGTCTGAAGACAATTTTCATATAAGCTGCCTTACATTATTAATGATTACTTGGGCAGTAACCCAAATTAAAAAAAAATGAAACCACTTTTTAAATGAAAGAAAGTCATTCTAATAAAAAAAAAATTGGGATTGTTTTAAATGTTTTGCATTATACTTTTACCTACTTTCCTGGCAATAGAAGAGATATGTAAGCTCTAATGAGCACGGCCCTCTGATTCCTCCTGTATTCATTTGTATTGTAATTGTACTGTCTGCCCTTATGTTGTAAAGCTCTGCGTAAACCGTTGGCGCTATATAAATCCTGTATAATAATAATAATAATAATAATAAATATACATACAGTACTTGCAAGCAAGTTATTTCAAACTTCTGAAGGTAATGATACAAAATAAAATTGTAAGACAATGGAAATTTTTAGGCACTACTACCACCAATGTCCTTCCATGTAGATAAAGTCAACTGGTACCAGGTAAGGATGAATAAAATTTCTCTTTATTTCCTCCAAGGAATACACATGTTCCACACAGAGCCAACACTAACACATTTCAGTCTATCATGGCCTTACTCAACTATAGGTACTGAACTATGAGTAAGGGGAATGTGGAGACTGTATAAGGATTTGGTGGTCAAATATTTCATTACATCAGGCATATGTTTTTACTTTACATTTTACCATGATGTATTAATTATTTTAATGGTGCCTGAAAAGTCCCATTGTTTTAGAATATTGTATTGTAGCTAGCTTGAGGGATGTTGCTTCCCATTTCTGAGCAGAGTCACCCATACATGTGAAAGCTTTTACAAATACCTTGTGGGGTTCAACTTTAAAGAACAATTCCAGGCATTCAGTGAGCTACTAATGCTAACCATTAGACGATGCTAAGGAAATTC